GTGGGGCTGGCTGTCGAAGCCTTCTACAGCAGGCAGTGCTGGAAGTCATCAGGAAATCCTGAACCGTTCCAGGGCTGCCCCAGAACCCTCTCTCTTTCTCTTATAAACTCGATACATCAAGAATTGTGACTCTGTGTGCTTCCTTTTCTGCCCTCTCCTCATTAGTGAAGGAAATGAACTGAACGATCCCTCAGGACGTTTCCGGGCTTGTCTGCTTCTCACATGTTTGTTGACTTGTTGGGTTCAGGCAGGTAGGACAGAGTGGTCTGTAGCTTTAAGTCGACCCTGGTTTCATCCTTCATTACCTGATTTCCATTTGACTCTTGCTTCTTATCAAGGTGACATCATATTCCAGGAACCTTGTGGAACATAAGCTTTAACATCCATGCTTTCCCAGCTTCCATTGTGAACCCGCTTTGTGGAAAGGAGAGCAGAATTCTAGGAAGCCTCCCAGCCAACACCAGTTGAGAAGGCACGGCCTGCCTGACATCCTCTTGGGATTATTTCTGTGTTGAAAAGCTTTATTGTTGCTTTCTGGCTCCTTTCTCCTTGATCCCTCCAAAAAGCGGCTTTCATTGAAGCAGAAGATGACTTGATCAAGTCAATGGTCTGAGCAACCGTACCTCATTTCCTTTGAATTTTTTCCTTTTGGTAAAATTGTGTTCTTGCAGTGTTTCTTTTCACCAGCTCCCCTCCCCTCCCCCAAAAGAAGAAAACTCAATGACAAGCCACACGTAATCTTCATTCAAGACAGCACTTGCCAAAGCAAAAATCAGAGTAATTCCTTCGGTAGGACCCTGCCAAGGAAAAAAGTTTAATTAGGGGAACGTTTTAATTTGATGCTCTTAGTCTGTGAAATAGCTGGGCTAGCTCTTATTTCATTCTGTCTAAAACTTAGTGTTGCCATGTCCCCTCCTGGCAGTAGGAAGCCCCCCTAATTCTCGTTGGCAGCTGTTGGTTTGTAGAGTGTTGCACCTGGAGGAGAAATCATCTCGTTGAACTTCTCCTTTTACAAAGGAGGAAACAGAGTCATAGTGTGCCTTGCCCAAGGTCATACGGTATGTTAGTAGCATTACTGGGCATATGCCCTAAGGAGGTCAAAGAGAGAAGGAATGTCCCATGTGTACAGAAATACTTAGAGCAGCAAAGAACTGCAAATGATGCCAAATTTTTTTTTTTAGTACTGAGATCTTTGAGTACCTCAGGATCACAGTTTCCAGGTGGTGACCTTCCTGCCTCGTATTTACCTACAGATGAGGACCCTGTGCCCTGTATTCATTACAGAAAGAAGTAGGGCCCCTTCATTAGGAGAGAGCCAGCTCTTGGATGGATTGTGTCATCTCCGCCTATTCTGACTTCAGGCTGGCTTCCACTCAAGGCCAGGCCCTGTAGCCTCCGATTTCACTTACAAATCTTCATCCCCTGGCTCTTTCATAATGCCATAAATCCTAACTTTAAAAAAAAATTTCTGATTAGAATCAAGAGAATGTTGTTGTTTATAAAAAAAAATTTCTATTTAAAAATTTGTGATGCCTTTTGTTTTCACGTCGTCATAATTTCTAAATCCACCTCCCCTCTCCAGGCCTTGTAACAGAGATTAAGAAAGAAAGAACACAGTTCAGAAAAGCCAGCATCCAGCAGCCCGTGGTTGCAGTATTGGACATGCATAGTTCTCCATCGGCGGAAGGGAGGAGGGGCATCTTCTCACCTCTTCTCACAGAGTGAGAAGGACCTGAGAGGCCACCTAGCCCAGCCCCGTCATTTTACAGATGAGGGGTCAAGAGACTTGCTCAGGATCACACAGCCACAGGTTTTCTTGCCTCTGGGCCCCAGCGCTCTCCTCTATGTCATGTTGCTGCAAAGTTCCATTGTTTTTATAGACCCCCATTCAAGAAGATTCTAAGCATCTCTGTGCTGTGCCATCAGTAGTGGTGGAATTCTGTAAGCAGAATGTCAAATGATAGCCCTGCCTGGGCATCCCAAAAAGATGAACAGGAAAGGAAAATGAATCACACCTCAGTAGCACAGATTGCTGTGGTATGGCAGGGCAGGGAGGGTTGGCTTTTCTTAGTACAGTGAAGGCTTGGTTCTGATCTGTGAGTAGAATGTGGTGGGGCTCTAACTTAGTGATAACCTCCTTGAAGGCAGGAATAAGCTTTGTGACCCTTTTGATACCTGATAGCATTTGACACAGAAGAAGCATTCGGGTCTAGGCTGGATGAATGAATTCAGTGCTTCCATTACCAATTGCCAGTTACACTGTCTTCTTACTCTAGCCAGGTACTAGGGATATTATAAACCTGTCTTCCTTGCTCATAGACTTCTGCCTCCCCCTCTCCTTACATCTGTTCCCTCATTTTTTAAATAATATTTTATTCTTATTTCCAGTTGCCGATAGAAACAGTTTTTAACATTAGTTTTCGGAAATTGAGTCCCTTCCCCTCCCTGAGACAGTAGTTTGATACAGGTTATACATATGCAGTCATGCAAAATATATTTCCATACTAGTCATGTTGTGAAAGAAATTGTAGACCAAAAAAAAAAACCCTCATAAAAAAATAGTGAAAAATAGTATGCTTCAATCTGCATTCAGACTCCCCCAGTTCTTTCTCTGGAGGTGGATAGCATCATGAGTCCTTTGGAATTGGCTTGGATTATGGTGTTGCTGAGAATAGCTAAGTCATCACAGTTGTTCATTGTACAACATTGTGGTTGCTGTGTACAGTGTTCTTCTGGTTCTGCTCACTTCACTTTGTATCAGTTCATGTAAATCTTCTTCTCTTTTTGGGGGTGGGGTGAGGCAATCAGGGTTAAGTGACTTGCCCAGGGTCACACAGCTAGTAAGTATCAATTGTCTGAGGCTAGATTTGAACTCAGGTCCTCCTGATTCCAAAGCCAGAGCTCTATCCACTGCACCACCTAGCTGCTCCCATGTAAGTCTTTCTAGGTTTTTCTGAAATTATCCCACTCGTCATTTCTTTTTTTTTTCTTAATTTAAATTTTTTTATTTTTTCCATATGCTTTTGAGTTGAAAATTTTTCTCCCTTTTCCTCCCTCCTGCCCTCCCCAAGACGGCGCACAATCTGATATAGGCTTTACATTTACATACCCATTAAAAATATTTTCATATTAGTGAAGTTGTAAGTAAAAATTAAAACCAATCCGCCACTCGTCATTTCTTATAGCACAACAGTATTCCGTTACAATCATATACCACAACTGTCTCCTTATCGTGTGCGTTTTGTGCCGCAGCTAACCATAGCAGTGATATGTCAGGTAGTTTGGAGCACAAGAAAAGGGCTTTAGTAGGGAGATTCCTCTAGAGTTCATTGCAGTAGTCGTGGTAGGAGCTGAGGCCAAGGTGAGGGTGGTGAGCACAGAAATGAAAAGGATGCCTAGATAGAAGAGAGATTTCAAAGGGGAGGTAAGTTGGGGGAGGGAAGGGAGGAAGGAAGGATGACTGAGGTTTTGAGACAGGAAGGAGAACAGGAAGGTGCAGAACATTCCGTTATTAGCTTGTCAGTGCCTGTCTTTGACTGTGGACCCTGTCACCTGAGATAACACTGTGAAGTACGTAGAAAGGAGCCACACAGCTGCACGCATCTCTTTCTAGAGAGGCTGAATCCTGCTGAAGACCCCTCGAGGTCATCGTCACTGCTGACGTGATTTCTCCTGGTCAGTCAGCACAGTTTGGCCACCTGGGATGCATCTTTGAGTTCTGAGAGCAGGGCTTTGAAACCTCAGTCCACCAACAGAAATGGTCATTGTCTAGCCCTCCATCCTCTCCTGCAGCAGCTGTGCATGTGTGTGATTAAACCCTCTGCGGCCGTGCCCTAAGCTGAGTTTGTAGGCCTTCTGGCAGAGCTCTCTTCATCTCTAGACCCAGAAAAACCCAGGTCTCCTGAGTTTGGACTTCGGATTTCATAACATGCCTACACAGTGATCAGTATCCTTTCAGGAAGGGCTTATGGTGGCTTGAGAGAGAGAGAGAGTGAGAATGTGAGTGTGTGTGTGTGTGTGTGTGTGTGTGTGTGTGTGTGTGTGTGTGTGTGTGTGTGAAGACATATTTTCAGTCCTGCAGTAGCATCAAGGGCACAACAGCCAGAAAGACAGCTGTCAGACATCAGGTAGAGAAGAAGATGACAGAGCTTTCTGTGCTCATTAAGTGTCTTTTTTGCCTCTCCCTGGACTTAAAGTCTACCAGTTGGCTGACCTTCCAGCTCTCTCCCCATGGGGTTGTATCAAGGTAGTAAGAATGCACTATTGAGTTTCCCCTAATGGAAACTCACACGATCTGTGTCTTCTTGTCCAGTCGATGCCGTATTGTATGTACTTTGGGGGCTCGAGTTGCTGCTTGAGTTTGGGCTATTGATATGAAGACTCCACCCAAGTGAACAGCTTGGCTCATTTGTCTGAATGGAGGCCGGCCTCTCCTTCCCCCCAAGAGAAAGCTTTTTGAAAGAAAAAAATCCTTATGATTAGATAGCTGTAGAAACACTATAGAGAAATAGATATCACACACACCGAAAAACAGCACGGATTTATAGGCTGGTGGTCATATATTTAGAGCCACAGGAGCCCTAGAGGTCATTTAGCACAACCTCATTTAAAGACAAGGAGACTGAGGTGAGGGAGGTGGAGAGACTCCACCAGCAGGGAGTGGCAGAGACAGGGCCTTACCCCTGGGTTCCTCGCCATCGCACCATGCAGATTGATCATGCAGATTTTGCATGAAAGTGCCACCTATATTTTCACCAATAGAGTAATTATTTTTGTTGGTGATAAAGGAAACTGGATACCTCTTCTTTTTAAAATGTTTAATTCATGTCGCCATGCATTTTGTATTACGCCAGTTGGCCAACTCCTTTTCAAGTGAGTTGGTCACATTTCTCAGTTTGGTGAATGAGTAGCTTTTTCAAAAAAAGATAAAATGACCTTTTGAGATGGTTTGATTTTTTTTTTCAAAAAGTCTCTTCTTTTATCTGCTGTGCTCCCTTCAGGTGGAACTAATGAGAATGATGTTTAACATCAATCCCTTGGAGAACCTGAAGGCTCATGTCAGCAGCCGCCCTCCACTTGTTGTCTTTATGGTCAGCGTGAGTGCCATGGCCATCGCTTTCTTGACCCTCGGCTATTTCTTTAAAATAAAGGAGATCAAGTCACCAGAAATGGCAGAGGTAAGGGAATACTCTGGACTCTTCTTTACTTGGTACTGGGTGGGCTTTGTGGGAAGGGAAAAGCATTGACCGCCTCTTTGGATGACATTTGGACTTTTTTCCTAGAGAAGACCTTATTATCGGTGTAAAACAGCAAAAGGCTCCCTCTCCTTTTTCCCTTGTCAAAAAACTGTCAGGTATCATATGCCCTTTTAGCAAAGACCTTGGTTTATTCTGCTAGATAAAGAAGAGTTAATTGATTCTATACAGTATAGTGATTGTAACAGGCTGGCATTGAAGTAAGGCTTTTGCCTGACATTCATCAGCTTTGTGCCCGGGGGAATCCCCTTGCTCTCTGCATTCTAAATTGGAGAATTTAAAGCTATATGACAGAACAGAGGAGTGGCTAGTCTATGTCAGTGGAGGGAGTTTTCATGATGGAAGTTCCCCCAGTAATTAAATTGCAGCTCTGTTCTCCTCCTGCCCCACGTCTGTGCTCAGTGGTGCTTCCAGGGAGATGGCTTGGGGCATTAAGCAAGTTGCACTTGGTGGTAGGATCAGGGATGTCCAGATGTTGTTACTCAGACCTCCAGTCTTAGCATCCCTTGGGTTAAGGCAGACTGAGAAAATTAAGGCCATCTGAAGTTTGGAAATCCCACCCTTGTTTGGGGATTACAAGGTAGAAGGGCTGTGATGCTGCTGCCCTCCTGACTCTGTAGGTTCACTTTCTAAGTGAGTGAGATCATCCCCACACCCTCCCCCTCTTTTTTGTTTTTTTACGATGAGGAAACTCAGGCCCAGCAAAGTCATGTGACTTGCCCAAGGTCATTTAAACAATAAGTATCAGAACTAGAATTCAAACCCAGGTCTCTGACCCCTTCTGTCCAACCTCAACAGTGGTTTTAGAAAAGGCTTATTACACATTTCAAAGCAACTTTTTAAGTACCGCACACTAAGGAGCCTCTGGAGTTTTCTAAATTAAATGATTTTAAAAACAAAATCAACTTGAAATACATTTACTTACTCTTTTATACCTCACAATTTATACTGGAGTCAGCTTTCTGATGGATTCAGTGACCTGGAAAGTGCTTTTTTAGTTCATATAAAAAGTCTCTGTCTCAGTTTCCTTTAAAAGCCAGTCTTAAGACAGCATCTGTTCTCTTAAGCTCTGTTCTTTGTATACAAAAAGGGATGTGGATTGTAAAGACCCAGGTACTTTGTGATGAAGAGGAGGGATGGTGACCGTGGTGCATTGTATTGTGGATCCTGACTCTTCCCTGGGCCTAAGGAGATTCTGCAGTCTGTATTAGAATCTGCTTGTAAGTGCTGATGGTCAGAGGGGGCAGAAAGAGGCCAGAGAGATCCATTCTCTGTCATTTGTTTTCATCAGAATCATTTCAGCCTGTGCACATGAAACCTGCTTTTGAGAAGAAGCATTAGCTAGTTGGAGCTGCCCTCTTCCTGCCCCAGGCTGGGAAGTGCTAACAAGCAGTGACGTTGGCCAAAGGTGGGCAGCCTTTGGGGGAGGATGAGAAGCCCAGGGTCAGGGGAGGACTCTCCGATTAGCTCTGAGTTTTCACAGTCAGCGCTGGTTCCGAGTGGCCTTTGGTGTATGGGGAGGCTCAGGGGAGGGGAATTCCAAGACTTTGTGGTTTTAGGTTGTAGTTGTGTGAGCAGGTGTTCAGAGCTGTCATTTCTTCATCAATTCAGTTCAGTTCAGCCAGCTTTTATTAAGTTGCTGGTGTGTTCAAGACACTGTGTTTAAAAGGTGGACCAGCAGGGTAAGCTGGAAGCTTTCACTCCCAACTTCAGTCAGTCCAGCTGGTATATTCTTGTGGGGCAGCTGGGCCCAAGGGCAGCTGCTTTCATCAGATCCAAGATCCAGTCACTGAAGTTGGGCTGAAAACATCGAGAAAGTTAAATGCACCTTCGTTGTGGCTTAAGGGAGAATAAGCAGCTTTTGATAAATTAGTGCCACGCAGGAGACAGTGAGCAAACTGCATGAGGATTGTCAGAGGAAGTACTTAGAGGTCAGCTTTGTGCTTCTGCTGAAATTAATACAGGGCTTGTTATTTCCAAAATTGCTTCTGAGTTAAGCCTTGCTGTGACCCATTGCATGTGTATTTGGAAAGCCCTCAAGATCTGAAATCATTGGAAGAACTTGTAGATGTTACAAGATGCCTGGAACTGTTTGTCTTCATCTAATATTTGAAAACTGACTTCCTTCAGGATGAAGTCCAGAGTCCATTGTGGGGAGAGGAGATAAATGGGCCCAGATAGAGTATGGCGTTCACTGAGGATTGTTAGGGGGAATGAGATTTTGAGGAGGAATTGCTTTTCACCATAAATGGAATTGAGATTATTTCTAAGAAGTTAAAGTCACTGCTTTGGGAGCTTTTGTATCACCTTTGTCTGACTGAGCTCTTCGTGTCTTCGGATGAGGTATAGTTTTCATTCGTGGAATCAAAAACAGAGCCCTCTCTGCTCTCCCGGGTGGACACCAGGCAGTTAGGGCTTAGCTCCCTAGCTTACTTAACAAACACTGTGTGCAGGAAAAGCATTGCTTGCCTCTGAGATCATAAACATGAAAGTATTTTGAAAAAGTTACAACTGCCCTGCAGATGACAAATGGTAATGGTTTCACTTGGAAAGAGCTGTGATCTCATCAGTGTGGACACTTTCTCATGATCAGTGTAGATCACAGCCCTTTTGTGGCCAGAAGAAATTCACCATCCAGTCATTGGCCTGGGTGGATCTCCCTGAGTTTAGCTGGACTGCTTCTCAGGCCTGGCTGTTGGGAGGCTCTGCTAGCATGGAATCACCTAGTGGAGTGCTGCTTCAGGCCCACACTTGGGGACCACTGAGTGGAGGAAAGGATCAGACACAACACATATCCGGTAAGACTTCTCATGCTCAGGGCATCTCATGGCTTTGTTCTTTGTTTAAGGACTGGAACACTTTCCTTCTGAGGTTTAATGACTTGGACTTGTGCGTTTCGGAGAATGAAACCTTAAAGCATCTTTTGAACGACACTGCCACCTCAGAGACTGTAGTGACCAGCGGCCAGGCCCGGTCAGCCACCCAGGCACCACAGGCCCTTGAGGACTCTGGCCCCATGAACATTTCTGTCGCCATCACTCTGACCTTGGACCCACTAAAGCCCTTTGGAGGATATTCCCGCAATGTCACACACCTGTATTCCACCATTTTGGGCCACCAGATTGGGCTTTCAGGTATGTTGGAGACCATCTCATTTTTCTAAAGCATCATTCTTCTCCATTTTCCCTAGGCAGCAGCTAGCACAGGACTGATACAGCCCACCTGAAGGTCAAACACCGGAAGGTCGTCCTTATGCTACCAGGCTCCACTTTGGATTAGGCCTTGTCTCTTCAGACGCCCATTCAGTACTGGCCCTAGTAGCCGTTTAAGTCTGCTGTGTGTTCAGCAGTAAACTCCAGTCGCAGCCTCTTACTGCTAGGGTCAAATATAAATTTCTGTATTTGGCCTTGAAGGCCCTACAAAACCGGGCCCCAGCCTGCCTTTCCAACCTTCCCGTACCTGATGGCCCTTCACACCCTCTCTGCTGTGGCCAGACTGGCTCCTTCATGTCCCCCTGTATCCTCTCCATGTCTAGAGTGTTCCCCTGCCCTTAGCATCCTTTTTTCCTGAGTCTCCTTAGCTGGTGGTGCTAAAATGTCCACTAAAATGTCCTTGTTCATCATGTCCACACTTTGTACCTACTGATAGACATACGTCGATTGTTTCCCCCAAAAGACTGATGTCTTTGAGGACTCCTTTTTCTCTCTTTGGGCTCCTGGGGCCTCATACACGGTGTAGGCTAATGCTTGGTCCGCACAGTAGGGGTCACTGGAGACACGTGAGACCTAGCTCCATCCCCGATCAGACAAGCCTCAGCACACGAGACTGGTGCTGTCAGTGCTCTAGGACCCCAGCAGGCAGCGGGCCTGGGAGGGCTGGCGCTGGGGCTTGCTCTCCTGCAGGCTTCTGGGAACACATAGTCCTTGGCTGTCTCTGAGTGCTGAGCTTTACAGTGCTGCTGCTGCCTGCTGGCTCTCTCAGGTGTGGGCGTCTCATTCTGGGCCCGCCTCCTTCTCAGCAGGCAGGCCCCTTCCGCTTGCCCAAGCTCTGTGGTTTTCTTTGCCTGGACTCCTTAGACCCTGATGGACCAGGACCCCAATCCATTCACCTTCTTTCTGTGGTTCCCATTTGAGCAGACCCTTCCCACTTACATTCTCTTTGTTATGTAAGTTCTGATGTGTTCCTCAAACCTTGAAAACTTGTGCAAGGATGGGGTTGGGGGGTGGGTTTCTCTGTGCTCATGCACTTGGACATTAACTATAATGTTTTCTACAAAGTTTACTACAATGACTTCTTCTTCTCCTTTTCCCAGGTAGAGAAGCCCATGAGGAGATCAATATTACTTTTACCCTGCCTGCAGCCTGGAACTCCGATGACTGCATTCTCCACGGCCACTGTGAGCAGGTGGTCTTCACTGCCTGTATGACCGTCACGGCCACCACCAACGTGTTTCCTGTTACTGTGTAAGTGCATCCCTTACTAGGGAGGGCGCAGGAAGGCTCCTGGCTCTCACTGCTCTCATTCTATACAGAAAACGTTCATTAAGCCTGCACAGAGTGCCCTGTGTTACCATCTGAGAGACCGGGAAGAGCGTCTTCCCACATCAGATCTCTTGGAAGATCCCTTTAAGCAGAGGAGGATTAATTCTGAATTCTTAGTGGAACCTCTAGCGATAACTGACAGAGAGCTGATTCCAAGACCTGCCGAGATGTGAAGGCGTCGATAGCAAATCCCATGTGGATTGACGTTCATAGACTCCTGGTGTGGTAGAGGCAGGGGCAGGTGTGACCAGAAGTCAGCCAGATCTGGGGCCTGAACCTCCTCCCAGGTTCGGCTCTTCTCCCCAGGGGAGGGCCTTCTCAAAATGGCAGTGAGGGTGATGCTGATGTCACAGGGACCTGATTGTCATTTCTGATGGACCTTCAGCTTTTAGTGGCTCCTACTGAGTTAGCTGTGCTTTCATGTTAGCTTCTCTTTGTTCACTGGCTGAGGATCTGTAAATACTCATCTACATGAGGAGAGAGTCTGCTTAAAGGAGGCAGGCAGGACGGGGTAGTGGAAAGAGCCCTGGGTTTGGCATTGGAGGACCTGGGTTCGAATCTCAACCGTATGACCTTGAGTAGGTCAGTCCTTCCTGGGCCTCATTTTCCTCTCCTGTAACATGAGGGGGTTGGACTCAGTATTCCCTGACGTCCCTTCCAGCTCTAAACTATGAGCCTGTGATTGGGTAGCCTTCATGGACCCTTCAGGTTTTAATGTTAGGCTTCTATCTTTAGCATCCCAGACTCTTAGAGCCCCTTGGGAAGGGCCTCAGAAATCATGTTCATTTTGCACATAGAATCCAGAGGAGGTGAAGGAACTCACCCAGGGTCACCCAGCTAGTTAGGGGTCTTGTGTCGAGCTAGTGGTCTTCCTGTGATACCACATGGCACGTGAGCTGGGCCCTGGATGGCCTCAGCTACCCCCCAGCACGGGAAGATCAATTAAAAGACTGGGCAGAGGGTCATTTCAGGGTCTTTGACCCACAAGATCTGATAGATACATACTCATTGGGCATTAGAGTTACTGGCTGTTTGGGGAGTTGAGTACTCAAACCTGCCATTTGGGATGAAAGAACTTAGCCTGGAAAAACTGGGCCCCAGGAGTCCATAGTGGCCCCCTGGCATGTCACAAACAGCAGGGGTTGGGCTCATTGGATTTTCTGCTAGGAAGCCAGAGTAGCTGCTTAGGATCCTGAGGCTGCAGGCCTTATTTCCTTTCTGCCGGGCCTGCCAGGTGGGGCAGTTTGTATCCCACAGAAGCAACCGCCCCTCGTCCATCTGCCTGGCAGGTCCCAGGTGTGGGCAGTGACATTCCTGGGAAGGATCGGAAAGCCCCCCCCCCCACACCCCAGGAAAGGCTCCCTGTGGGGCAGGCAGCCGGGAGTGATTGGTGCAGATCTTGGTTTTCTTCTTCCCCCAGACAACCGCCACATTGCATTCCCGAGACCTACAGCAATGCCACGCTTTGGTACAAAGTCTTCACCACCGCCAGGGACGCAAATACAAAATACGCGCAAGATTATAATCCTTTCTGGTGTTACAAAGGTGCCATCGGGAAGGTCTACCACACTTTAAACCCCAAGCTCACCGTCATCGTGCCAGACGTAAGTGACAAAAGCCTGCTGTGTCCCGTCAGTCTTCTAGACTGAGCTGTGGTTCCTTTTCCTTGGAGGATTTCTTTCCTGGGAAGTTGAATGCACTGGGGGGGTCAGTACAATGGGCCGTTTCAGGCCAGAAAGCTTTGGTTTTGTTCTTTTGGTTTCTTTCCAACTTCCTGAGCACCTGCTACCTGCCTGACATTGTCAGGGACACTGGAGATAGAGAAGGACCCTTTCCTGGAGAAGAGCTCTCTCCTGGGGATCCGAGAGGAGCCCGTGCAGAACACTGATGGAGCAGTCCCAAAAGCCCTGTAGATAGAACATGCACTGAATGGTGTAGACCAGGCCCAGAGGAGCACGGAGCTCCGAGATGAGCTCACTGGGCTGGAGGGGTCTGGAAAAGCCTGCTGGAGGACGGGGGGCATGAGCCTGGCTGCATGTGGAGGGTGAAGAGGTGTGGGAGGCATGGCAGACCGCGAGCCAGGCCACAGGCTGCTTTTTTCCCAACTTTCAGGTTATTCTCACTATTGAAGCTTACCGTGGGATTATCCCCGAATCGCCAAATTGGAAGGGTCCTTCGGCAGGTTGAGCATCTCCCTGGACAGGAGCACCAGGATGAGGAGGGGTCTTCCAGCCTTGCCCTGAGTCCCTCTCCAGCTCCCAGAGCCCCTTCATAGAGCTCTGGTTCTGAGGAGGTTTCTCCTTACATTGGGCCAAAATCTGCTTTCCTCAGTTTCTTCATTGAAGACGTTGTGGTTCCCCCCTTGTCCCAACGTGTCTCCTTGCGTCAGGGAAGACCTCCTCCTTTACTAGAGACATGGAGTTGGGTGATGAGAAGCTTTGTCTGCTTCTTTTCTCTAAGTGTCATTTAATCAGTGAGCCTTGAAAAAAACACGAAGATTGTGTCATTTTAATGGGCCAAGGCTTTGTCCCAGACACTTAGATGCAAGAAACTTGGAACATTTAATTAGGAAATCATTGTGTAGGCCATAGAAAGCGGGGAGGAGACTAAAGTTGAGGTTTCCGTGTTTTGGTGGAAAACAAGCAACTCTTAATCACATGGACACATCAGTCAGCACCATCATCTGTTTGTTTTTGGCTAGGCAGTGGAGTTAAGTGACTTGCCCAGGGTCACACAGCTAGTAAGTGTCACGTGTCTGAGGGCAGATTTGAACTCAGGTCCTCCTGCCTCCAGGGCCGGTGCTCTATCCACTGCGCCACGTAGCTGCCTCTAGCAAGTATTTATTAAGCACCTACTGTATGCCAGACCCTAGGGATACAACATTAAAAAATGAAAAGCATCTTTACCCTCAAGGAGCTTACAGTCTACTAGAGGAAAAGAAGTAATGTGTGCACAAATAAGTAAATACAGAGTCGTTGGAGAAGGGGTGAGGGGGGCTGACCAACACACCTGGTTGTGGGGGTGGGGAACGAGGCAAGGCTCACGCAGAGCCTCAGATCCCAGGGGAAGGTGGGGAGGGGGCGGGGAATGCAACAGCAGCAGATTGGCCCATTTGACTGGTTCAGGGCATTAGTATTTAAGCCACGTGACTTTGGTTTCACCCTTCCAAGCTGTGGTCTTGTGGACACCAGAAATAGAAAGAAAACTCCCACATAAACATACAGAATATAGGGGTTCTTAATGTGCGGTCCCTGAACTTGTTGACCATGATTTTCATATAATTGGTTTCTCTTACAATCTCATGTCATTTATCTTCTGTGTTCAAAACATGCTTTGTGAGAAGGGGCACACGCAGGGGGTCGGTGACACTGGACAGACTCCGCCTGCTCCTCCTGAGCGGTGAGGCTTCCTCTGGCCGCTGCTGCAGCGTGGTTTCTCCCCTTTCCCTTTGTGTAGGATGACAGATCCTTGATAAACCTGCATCTCATGCATACCAGCTATTTCCTCTTTGTGATGGTGATTACGATGTTCTGCTATGCCGTCATCAAGGGCAGACCTAGCAAACTTCGACAGAGCAGTTCAGAATTCTGCCCAGAAAAGGTAAGCAGAACGATGGCAGGCAGCAGGCAGCCTGGCAAAAGCCGCCTTCCCCACACTGCAGACAGGTGGATGGGCATTTCCTCCCAGGCCAGTTCCGACCACAGCAGCCAGTTGCGCGGCTTTCATCTCTGCTGCCTGCCTGAAAATAAAGGGACAGACTTAAGAGGAAGGTGCTCTCTATTCCATAAGCAAAATACCTCTGTCCCTTCATCCCTTCATGTCTTTTGTCTGGCACTTTTCCTTTGAAAAAGCAGTGATGGGATTTTTTCTTGTCCTTTCATAGTGTCCCCTGCCTAGAATCTTCCCTGTGTGGGTTTGAAAGTCCATCATTGGTTGGATCCTGGCTTTAAAGCTGTGGCTGCGTGAATTGTTGGAGGAGTGCCCCCTCCTCAGCTTTCTCCTCACCTGTTGTGTTGGCCTGAGCAGACAGCAGGAGAAGAGAAGGGTGTGGTCAAGGAATGAGACCTCGGACAGAGCCCACGGCCAGCTTGGTCAGCTGTGTCTGCACAGGGAAGGAGGTCGTGGCTGCCAGATTCCATTTCACCCCCTCCTTGAGATTCCCACCCTGGCTGATTCTTGTAGCGCATTTGAGAATGCATTCATTCACACATTTTAAGTTCCTTGTATGTGCTAGGCAAAATACTAGGCAATAGAGGAAACAGTCTTTACCCCCAAGAAACTTTATACACAAATAAGAAAATGCAAAGTAATATTGTTTTTGGTTGGGGAGGGGGTAGTTAATAATTCAGGAGCAGCAGAATAGACCTCTTGTGAGAAGCCCCAGAGATGAGCCTTGAAGGAAGCTGGGGGAGAGGGGAGGGAGGAGGAAATGCATACCAGGCATGAGGTCCAGCTTGGGTAAAAGTGTGGCGGCAGGAGATGGAATCTTGTGTCCAGGAAATAGGAGGTGGGCCAATTTACCTAGGAAGGGGAGTGAGCCAGGGGAGTAAAGTGCAGTAAATGAATGAGAGAGGGCCCCCACCCATGCCCCCGGCATGGCCAGCAGAGCCCATGGGGGTGAGGGGGGCTGAAGCTGACCAGTCCCTTTGCCTGTGCTCTGTTCCAGGTGGCTTTGGCTGAAGCCTAGTCCAGTGACCGAAAGAACCGCGGTCGTTGCCTGCTGAGCCCGGCCTGTGTCTGGACACTCTGTGAATATGTTATCTGGCAATGTTGGGTTATTCCAACCAAAGACATTTCAAGTGCCTGTTCATTGATTTGTACATATTTATAAAAGAAAAAAATATATTCAGAAACTGGTCAGATGATGCACTTGCTCCGCACCAGGGTGTGACCAGAACCTTTCAATCTTTTACCTGTGGACTTAGCTGTGTTTGTGTAAATATGTTAACAGTGTGGCTCCATCAGTCAGAGTGGAATACCGTGGCCTGGAGGATCAGAGCCTTGGTGAATGTCTCAAAGGAAACAGATTTTCAGTGGGGGGTTGTTTGAGCCTGGCTTTTGTTTTAGCCCAGCAGTGGTATGTGTACAGTGGTGTTTGAACCTGTGTGCACCTTCAATAGGCTATCACATTTCCAAAGCCACTGATCCAGGGCCTGGGGTCAGTGTGTTCTTTGTGGTTCAATAAGGATAGTAACAACAATAATAATACCTGTTCTCCTCTTTGCTTGCAAGAAAAGATATCCATCTTTCTAGAGTTCTTTCTGTTTTTTGGAAGAAGAAAAGTTAAAATACATATTCACATTTTAATACTGCTGTAGGTAGGACAGACTTTGCTTTTCTCCTGAGTAAAACAAGTATTTCAAAGATTAATCCCTTTTGAAGTCATCCCCATGCTAAGCGCTAAGTTTCGTTTTTTGTGTGGACTGTGGAAAGACACGGCCTTGTTGGGCTTTGCAGCAGGGTGCTTCCTGGTCGTTTTTTTCATTTCTCTCTTGGTTTTTTTTGTCTCTAAAATGAAAAAGCAGCTTCCTTGTACCAAGGAGCTGAGCCGTGTCCCTTTGTGGGCTGCAGGGGAAAGGGGAAACCTGGGAGACTGAGCTGAGCTCATGCCTCCTCGTTCTCACCCAGGGCATCGTCAGGAGTGGAGATGGCCATGTTTGGGAAGTCGGCTGCCGTCGATTCGTCTTCCCGGTTCTCCTGCAAGTCTTTGGTTGGCTCACTTTATCCCTTCATTGTTTTTCTCTCTTGGTGGTTTCATTTTCCCCTCTTCTTCTTAAGAATTTGTATTACCTTTTCTAATACAGTTGTCGTATATTATGTTCCTCCTCAGTCTACAAGAAGGGAAAGCCTTTTGTAAACTTCCCCACACATCTGGAATGGGGATGCCTTGGTGACCTTCTGTCATTAAGGACCTTTTAGCTTATGCCACTAGGCCATCGCATTAGGGCCTTGGAAATAGCAGCCCACATTCTTCCCTTTCACGAGGGTCCTCAGGCGTAGCTTCTTCAGCCTAGAGAATCTGGATCCCAGACTCCCTAGATGGAAAGCCGCAGTGGGCCTTTCCCAGAAGCCCGTGAGACAGGTCAGTGCAGGGACCCGACTGGTGTTGCAGTGTTTCTCTTGAGTATATTTCAAGCACAAGAATCATATTTTTCTGATAGACAATGTTTTTTCTGTATGGTCTTTGTGGCTGACATGACGTGTGGGTAAATCGTTGAATGTAGTTTTCTTTCTGGAGCCCTTGAGCTCCAGACCGGAGCAGATTTGGAAATCACTCGGGCCTGGTTTCCAGAAATGTCTTACATTAAAAAGCTTCCAGAATTTAGTTGAAGCTGCTACTGACTTAGAATCCTGATGAAGTGAAGCTGTATGACTAGATTTATAGCTGGTGTGTGTGTGTGTGTCTGTGTGTGTCTGTATATGTGTGTTTGGGCGTGGGGGATGCAACTGAAAAAAAAAATTTTTCCTGATTTGTTCTTTTCTCAGCTTGTCATATGTACACATATACATATGTGTGTACATGTATGTATGTATGTATGTATGTATGTAATTGTTGCTGATCCTTGATGTTTTAATGGAAGGGACTGGGGTGGGGTAGGGAATTGATAGCCCAAGAAAGAAATGAAGTCAAGAATGGTGCTAGGGAGTGCCAAAAAATGCCCCAAGAACATAACTTAGCTTAAGGTAAGATTGGAGAATAACAAATGTTCATTATTTAGTCAAGCAAGCAACTGTCAGAGCACAGAAGCCCAAAGTGTAGCAGGTTGGAGAAGATAGGCCACTGATGTATGTGAAGGGCAGGAAATGGAGACAGCTCCCGGGCCAGGGTTGAGGCCTTGAGTAAGTAGAGAGGCTTTCTTGGCATCCCCCACATCCAGGGTGCCCATTCCTGCCAGGGGGCTGGCTCCCCAGGCTGGTCTCTTCTCCTCGAGCCTCGCTCCTGGGTCTGTTGCGGGTGTTGGGGTGGCCACGGCCTACCTCGGGCCCCTCAGCCTGGCTCTGACACAGCTGGAGAAAGGTCAAGGACTTAAACAGTAGAGTGGTCATTCCGGATCATATTGATCTCTCCTTTTTGTTCCCTTTCACCGTATGACTTGAATCCGTCTCGATTCTCTTGGTAAGTGTCTTTTTCCCCATAGTTAGTGCGTCCCATAGAGAGTCAGAGCCTTGGCTGTTGGCCCCCCTTCAGGTCATAGCTAAGATGGCCCGGTGATCCTGTTCACTTCTCTTGTTGCATGATCCGGCAATGGCATTCTCTGCTAGGTTAATTTTCTGTGTTTGTAAGATGTGCATATATGCTTTACAGAATAAAAACATCTGAGTTTACTGAGGTTTCTCTGTTTGTTCTGCAGGGGTTGGTTCCTTTGAGGGGAGGGATGGGGGCACATACAAAAGAAGAAACTGAGAGGTAGAATCCTGGATTTGAGATCATTAGGCTCTGCCCTGAATTTTATTGTGCTGGGTGTAATCTAGAAAGTGTCTTGTGTAAAGCAGGGTGAACTTTCTTATCTTGTGTGGGAGGAGGGAAAGGACCCTGTAGTCACACTTTAGGTAAGTGGGCCTCAGTTTCCTCAGCTGTCAGATCACACAGAGCTGGAAGGGACCTTAAGGGCCATCTGGTGCCACCAGAGTGACTTGCTAAGGGTCATACTAGGTAGTAAATGGCAGTCAGAATTGGAACCTGAACGCTCTGTCCACTGTACTCCTCAGCCTCCCGATTCTAAAGCTTCTTCTGGTTTTGTTGTTCTAGGACTTATTAACAGTATATCTTTAATGCAGTTCAGCATTTTCTTTTCCCCAGAGAAAAACCATTTGAGGATTCCTGGAGGGGCCACCTCTCCCTCCCGAAGGCTAGCTGTCTGCTCAGCAGGTCTTCTCCCCAAGTTGTTGACGTGTTCTCTGAGCTTTGCAATTTATTGGAAGAACAAACAATAGTAAACCTGACCCAAATCCTGCCCTGCAAAGGTAAATAGAGGAGCTGAGTACAAAGTGTTTGAATAGGTGCGAGGAAAAGAGCATCCGTCTCAGTTACATTAACCCTTTAGAGCTCAAGCCTTGGCTTCGCCAATGGGACTCCGCCTCTGCCTGCCCATCTCCCATTACAAAGTCCCTCCGGCATCCCAAACTCCAGGTCTAGCATAATTTGGCATCACGGTTCTCCCCTGCTCGTGGAGGCCGAGAGAGCCAAGGGGAATTTTCTTTTCTCCCGAAGGGCAGAGGTAATGGGCACCACCTTCATTTCCAGGAAGATGCTGTTGAGCGCCAAGCCATTCTGATGATGAAACCATGAACAATGCTGCTTTGTGAGAAGCCAGAAATTCAGTACCTCAGTGGCGCCTTCTGTTTCCTTTCTCACTCTTGTCTTTCTTTGAGAAAATGGGAGAATTCTATGCTTGGAACAGGGGTCAATTGCAGGTTAGCAATTAAAAAGCCAACCCAGCTTTGGGGGGATGGGGAGCCTGTACTTTGGCAGAGGTCTGGCCCAAGGCAGAAAGACTCTGGGCCAGTCCCTCTGCCTTTCAGAGCTCTCGCCAGCTCTTCAGGATTATTAATTGTAGAGAAGGTGCTGGCCCATACAGGGAGAGAGAGTTCCCTCAACCAGTGAAGTCACAAGGCCCTTCTTTCCTTTAAACCGTTTGGCCCTTCAGTCAGCTCTTCAGAAGCACCGGCCTAGAGAATTCACAGGCTGGCCCAGGCCTCTGGCATGGGGCCTTGGCGGTCAGTAGGCCCGGTTTCAAATCCTGTCACCATGAGACCTGCAGGGATGAGGCACCTTTCTGTAACAGTGCAGAGTAGGAATACTTGAATCACTCCCTGCCTCATCCATAAGTAAAGTGCTTTGCGAACCTGAAAGGGTTACAGAAATGTCCTTCTTTTAAGAGAGATTGGATGAGAGCTCAGGGATGGATAAATAGTCTTTGCCCACTTTGGGATGCAGCAAACCTTGAGCACCATTTATCACTGTTAGACACATGGCTGGGGGGATTGATTCCTTGCTCTGCTCACTGGTGAACCTGGGGTTACTTGGAAATGACCCTCCTCACAGAGGGTCACATGCCCTCCTCTCCAGGGTTACCTTTTATATCCTTTGTGTGTTTTGTATCTACCTATACACACATAAATGTTTAAGTGTGTGTGAATGTGCATGTATGTACAAGGGGTGTGTGGGTGTGGGTGTGCACACACCTGTTGTTTCCCCATTAGAATTTAGGCCCATTATGGGCAGGAACTTTTGACTTTGTATCCTTGGTGTCTAGCTCAGGGCCTGGCAGAATAGTTTTAATCAATCAGTGCACTTGTTGAGCACCAATTTGATCTGTGCAAGGCCCTCTGCCTTGGGGGGAGGAATAGGAGAACTAGTCTTTTTCCCCCTCCCCTCTCCTAGGAGCTTACAGTCCATGCCACAGGTCCTGAAGATGCCAGGTGGCATGGGCCCAGGGAGTGGTGCTGACTAGGAAGGGCTGTTCAGAGAAGAAAGAGTTCTCTTTGGGCTGATCGGGTCAGAGAATGTTCTGTGGAGCTGGAATATGAGATTTGGAGATGGGACGCAGGGATGGGCTGGCTGTCAGGGATCCCTTCCAACTCTGAAGTTCTGGGAGATTTTAGAGATTCTGGCTAATCCTACTTCCCTCACTGGATGGAGGTGGGAACTCTTGGGGTTTGGGTGATTTGTCAAATAGCCAGTAAGGGGCAGATTTCCTCAGGACTTGAACCCAAGCCCTCTGATTCTAGTGTTCTTTCCATTAGCCACTGTAGCTCTTGAAATAGGGGTAGAGTAGGTAGGGGGCAGGGCAAGGAACAGGATATTAAGATCAGAAATCAGGTCACTAAGCATTTATCGAGTGCCTACTGTGTGCTGGGGATGCAAAGAAAATCACAAGTCCCTCCTTTCAAGGAGCTCCAGTCTAGAGGGGGAGACAAGATACAGACAGCTCTGCCTACAAGATAGATCCAAGAGCGATTTGGCTGACTCCCAAACCAAGAGTGATGCCATGACTCCTTTGTAAAAGCAACAGCCCCGGTTGAAACCCTTCCTACTTAATGAACTCTCAGTTCTTTTTTCATTTCTAAGTGGTTCCCTTCTCGTTTCCTCCTCGGTAAAATGAAGGGGCTGGGAGCAGGGATCTTAAATCCTCTAATCTCTCTGATCTCCGAGCAGGGGAAGAAGAGCTGGTTTCACTGAAAAGTGCTTTTAAACCAAGAGGGAGAGAACAGCTCGTTGTTGAAGGCAGCTCCTGCCTGGGGACGAGGGAGGACACTGAACGGACTGCACGCGGGCCGTGACCAGGAAAGTAACCTCTGCTTCCGTCCCGCCTCCTCCACCGGGAGAGCCTTCAGCCCCACTGGCCATCAAGGCTGGAATGAGCACCTTGGCAGGATTTAGTCCGGTATCTCATAAATTTATTGCTTATATTTGAGCGTCGATAGACTCTAGAGATCAGTTGGTCCAGACCTTCTAAAATGAAGAAAGTGAGACCTGTAGAAGGAACATGACTTGCCTAAACTCACACAGCCATTGACCATCAGGATTGAGATCCATTTCCTCTTGAGTGCACACCCAGTATTCTGTCTCTGTATCCAGCGCAAGGCCACCACATTCATCTGATAGAAGCTTCATATTTGAGTTGAACCAAACAATGAAGGCTTAGAGACACCCAGTCAGTACATTGGAGCCCAAGATTCAGGCCCAGCACCCCTCATCCTACCCCTTCTGCCCAGAATGATGGTTCACTAGGAAGAGTCCTTGGGTGTAGATGAGAATTATTAAGTTAAATGGCTCCCCTAACCACCAGAAGAAGATAGCCTTGTTTATCATCTTGATTCCACTGAACATAAAGATGTGAATATTTAAAGTACAGCATCACCTGGCAAATGGGATGTTGCTTCCTGAATGGCACCATCCTGCCCTTCCCCTCACTCCCCAAGGGGTATTTCCATTCTTGTTGGACAATGAGAGGGTGCAGATAAACAGCTGCATCTGACTTTTCCCAGTGAGGATTTGGGGAAGCCAGACTCCTTCTCTTGCCTCCTTCCCATGGCAGTTGCTTCAAGCCTTGATCTCCGTGGCTAGACTGCACGCTCCAGGTGTCCATCTGCTGAGCGTGCCTGGAGAGGCCTGGGTCCTGGTCCCCTCTCTGGGCCTCAGTTTTCTTCCTTGTAAAATGAATGGTTGGATTCAATGGTTTCTCCATCTCCCTTCTAGCTCTAACACTGTAGGGTTTGGTTTTGGGGGAACAGGTCCCAGATTGGACCTAAGTGGCTGGGTTTGAGCATCCACCCCACCTTCTCCTCCTCCCTGGATCAGTCTTGACTGGGTCCCAGGAGTGCAGGGAAGGGCTAGAGGAATGGTGCAGAGCTCTTCTCCCTGCTTCTCCCCTCTTCCGTTGCCGCCATGTTTGTATGCTGCACCCCAAGGACTGTGGGACCTTTCCATCTGATTGGCAGCAGAAACCTTCCACGTGCGTGGTCTTCCCCGTTAGACTGTGAGCTCCCGGAGAGCAGAGATCAGTCTGTCTGACTTTTTGATTTGTATCTCCAGCTCTTAGCACGGCGCTTTGCACATAGTAAACATTTTTTGTTCATTCATTCACTCATTCATTCTCCTTGTCTTTTCCCTTCCCCCTCTCTCCAAGGAGATAAAAGATGGAGCACCAATCTTGAAGTGCAGTTATGACTATCAAATGAGGTAATATTTGTAAAGTGCTTTGCACACTGCCTGGCGTGTGGCAGGCACCATATCCTTCCTTCTCTCTGACTCTCTCCTTTCTCTGTCTCCCTCAGACCTGTGGAAAGTCCTTAAGTAGGGGGTAATCGAGTTTCCAGTGGAATAATGTGTGTAAAATACTTTGTACATGTCCGAAGCTCTCCATAAATGTTTGCTGTGTTGCCACATTTGGGTGTATGCGTCTTGGCATGCATCCTTACAAACCAACAGACATACAGACACAGCCAGAAGGGTAGGGCCCATTGATTTAACTGGTCTGGAGAAAACTCCAGAGGAGAAACTTTTCTGCAGTCCCCAGTCTGAGGGAGTAGTTGTCGGGGGGCATCTGAGAGATGGAAGGGGCTTGCCGGCACCATCAGAGGTGACCCGACTCAGAAGCTGGTTCTCTTGCTGCTACCTGAAAGCGCTTTACGAATGTCAGTAACATCGCCTACAGGGTAGATACTGCAGGTAAGATTGTCCCTGTTTTGCAGATGAGGAAGCCAAGGTGGCTGATGGAGCTTCACATAGCTAGTGGAGATTCCACCTCCAACTCCAGCTTTCTTTTTCATGCTAGTGAGCATAGCTGGGAACCCTTAATAACGGACCGGCTCTTTTCATCTAAA